ATAAATGTACCCCAACATCCAAATGTATAGTTCTCTCACATTTCCTTTATTATTATATTCATAACGCAATACTATTTAACTCTGGCTTGTGGAAAAGAAATAAATCAAGTACTATTGTAATACACTTAACACGTGGAGCAATTTAAATTGCAACAAGCGGTTTTAAATAAAACAAGGACCTCTTTTAGGCGTATAAAAAGGCTCTAGAGACATAAAAGAAAGCAGCTGTATTACACGTTTCGAAAATCGATGCACCAAGTGGAATGCAAATTTTTTCTCGCCGGAATTTTTGTTTTTACGTGAACGCGCAGAAACTGCTATCAAGTGAACGTTTTGCACAGAAAAAAACCTTATGGTTATTTACGTAATTTAAATTGCAAGGATGTCGCCTGTGTTACATACGAATAAATACACCGCAACACGCGGGTTGGTTAAGGCGAAATTACCGCAATTTGTAATAGCGGGTACCTACGTTTATTTAATGAGTATTAAAGTCTTCTCTCATAACGGTGAGAGTTTGAAACAGGGAACGAGCGTCACATTTCCGGGCCTGGTTGCGTCGGAAGCGTCTCCATTGTGTGTGACGCCATAATTAACAAACTAAACTTAACATGTGCTTTCCTGCCACCATTGTATTCTTGGCAATTAATGGTTTCGTTTCCGTTTGTTTCGGCGCTCGTTCAATAGCACTCGTACATCAACTGACCCGTGTCCTGTACCGAAAGGCAGAATTTTCAGTTGGAAAATGTTTGAAATATTGCCCGACCCATAAATCTCCAACAAAATCAACGTTTAAAAGGTTTTCCACCGTTATTAATCAAACGTTGCTCCATTTAAAGGAACGTGACAGTTCTCCTCACCCTCCCCGACCAATTCTAACACTTATGCCATATTCGAGCTCATGCACCGAGAAAAAGTTACACAGTTTAATCAAACTAATAGAGAGATGCCTTCCGCAATACCAATAACTTAATAGATCGCCCCTATCAAAAGCTTTTGTAAGGAACTCTTTTCTATACACGATAAATCGTTTATGGGGCCGAAATATGGCAGGGCTATATATTTTCATAAAGTGTCATTTGCTAGATTTATTAAATCATTTTTGCGAATTGAATTTGTTTATTCGAGGTAATCATTTTTAAATGGCAACTGACGCAGTTTCAATTTAATTTATCTCTAATGTATAGTGCGTTGAAAAACGATGCTATTACCCGCCTGAACACAGAGACGTTTTTTACACCTTGGCAGAGCAAAACCTTCTTTTAAATGTTAACTATATAAAATTATTAGTAATTTCGTCAATATAGATGACCAATGTACTGAAGAAATCATGAGACCTGGCATGTGTGCTTTGATCTAGATAAAAATCTCATCCTTCAGGGAATATTTCTTATGGGGTTTATAAAAAAACTGGTCAATATTAGAAGGAAATAAATTAATACAATACATTTTCTTATCAAAAACGTGATAAACTAAAGAACTTAATTAGTGGTTTTTTAAGGGATGATACTTGTGAGTTTACAATCAAGCCGAGGGGTCGTTTTTATATTCACGAACTAGGCACGAAAGCAAAAGACTAGAGCAACAACAAAATTTCGTTTTTAGCGCATTTTTTTAAGAATAAAAAAAATGTGCTATTGTTTGTGATATGCCAGTCCGGCCGTCTGTCCGGACCCATTTCTATTGTTTGAGGCCTGGAATTTTTTGCAATAGTTAGCCTATACGTGGAATCTCCATTAATTATATCCCGAGACGCTCTTTTGGAAAATAAAACGTGCATAATTTTTACATGGAACAACCAATTTGTCTCATATTTTGCCCAGCGTAGGGGTAGGTAGGCGTGAGAGAGGTAGGCGTGAGAGAGGGAAAGCATAATCGACAACGAAAACGAATACAGCACTATCTTTTCAATGAATCTTGCTATTATTGCTATTTTCTTCTAGACTTTTTAAATTTTGTATCACAAAATACACCTCCGTCTGATATATCACCTTGACAACGTGAAATTGTAGTTTGCGGCGAGTCCTGCTTCGAACTCAGATTCCTATAATCCTTGAAAAAACTGAATTTTTTATTCAATGCTATGTTCCATGAACTGCCGACACTTGGTCTCTTGAAAGACTACTATTGGAACTTTCAATTCTATAAAATGTACATTTATGGATTTCATTCCTCTATATCACTTAATTTACAGTGTAAAAGTACATTTCCTGCTTTTCGCCTACAAACGTAAAGGGAAAGTTGGTCGAACCGGTCCCAAATTGCTCTCCCCGTCAGCGGTAAGTGCACTAGTCATTGTCCGTTTTGAGCGCGCTTCGCTCACATCGTTACGTTGCAGTTTTATAAGGAGATTGTATTGTAAGTTCTTTTTTGCATGATTTATTTGGTTCTTTTGTAGGATCAGTATGGGGAAAAGGACAGATAAAATAGGAAACGAGCTTCTTCGTCTTCCGACCTTTCCGATACTGATAAGAAACATAAGCGATTAATTGTAGACCTAAAAAAGAGGTTATTGGACTTGGAAAAATAAACAGTGGGTACGGAAGGGCCGTTCCCGATCAACTTTTATCACGCCACGCGCCCCCCACTTGGGGAACGAGGCAGATCCGATATTTCACGAGAATTACCTAGTAGAGAAAAGACTTTGGAAAACGTTTGCAAACAATTAAAAAGCTTTTCATATCCCTCTCGTGAAGAAGGGTCGATGCTCGAGAAAGCTTCTACCCCCATGCTCAACGAGCGCGCGAGTTGGGATCACAAAGGGGGATCACCAAAAAATATTGCTGGAATTGGTAGGATTCAGACGAATTCTCGTTACCGCAACCGAAAAGACACATGGTAAAACATAGCTCCGGTAAGTTATACTGGACGTTTGCAATATTTTGGTGAACATTGGGCCCAGATTACCTCCAATTACATAATCCTGAATTGGATAAAGGGATATAAAATTCCTTTTACTAAATTACCTACTAAGTTATCATCCCCTGCCTTTCGGCAACCCTCGGGGAAAGAGTTTGGTTTGTTAAAAAATGAAATTGCCAAGCTACAGTTGAACCATTTCACCTTGTGGTCCATACAAAGGTCAATTTATCTCCTCAATTTTTTAGCCGATAAACCGAATGGCTAAAACGGTTTATTTTACACATTTTAAAATGGCACTTTCAAGAACTGTTAGGGGTTTAATACGTTGTAATAGTTTTATGGGGTCCATTGCTCTTTTCAGTTCAGAAATCAATTGTTTCAGTTTAACTGTTTACCTTTCGGTCTCTGTTTGGTTCCGTGTGTCTTTTCTAAACTATTTACGTGGCTGCACAGTGTATCTTGAAAGAAATTATAGGAACCAACTTGTTTGTTGTTTTTAAAGGAAGGAATTTACAAATATGGACAAAGAAAACCTACTATTACGAATTTCTTTTAGTTACATTTGAAATTTGTAAAAGACTGGTATCGTCTCGGGGGCCCCTTAATCCTGTCTGGCTGGGGAATGGTACATATGTAGAGATGAGATAACTTTTGGCGGGTGGTCAAAATCAGAAAGCTTTCAGCAATCAGCATAGTAATATACTGGAATTACACGAAATTTATTTAGGACACAAATATTTTGCAAAAAACCGAAGAGACATAAATATCTTAGTTAGGATGGACAACAAATAAGCATGTAACGTTGAATAATTTAGCTAGGAAAATTTGGATATTTTGTGAAGAAAGAAACCTTACGGTTTTTGTATCGTATGGGAGTTATTGATAATTGAGAACCGGACGCAGCATTCCGGGTTTTACAAGGGGGCTTACAATGGTAATTTCGTACTATTTCGGATACTTTGGAACCTATTTACCTTAAACTGGAAAAAATTTAAGTTTTATGCTTTCCCGCTATTTGCTCTAATACTATGAACACTCCAAAAAATTGTTATCGATCAGGTTTCGGGTATTGTCGTGGTGCCTCTTCGGTGGTCACAACCTCGGTATCTCTTGTTCTCAAAATTAATACTAGGGGAACCTTTATGTTTGAATTCCCTGTGTCATGTGCTTACCCCGGTAGCAGCATGGTTATCAGGGAAACTTTCGAATTAAAAGGAGCACTAAAATCAGCTGCAGAGATGGTGGAGTACTCGCTGTTCTCGCTCCACCATATCACAACACAGGACAACTTACAAACGGTGGTGAGCTTTTTGCCTTTCACCATATCAAGAATCAGTGTCGGACATCCTAAATTTCTTTCAAAACACTTCAGAGACCATGAAATTATAATGGCAGCTTCAACCCACACCGTGCTATTCTTTCGCTAATCTAAACTTTTCAAAACGTTGTTTCCAATTATGTGCAATTCTTAAAACACAAAAAGTCGCACATTCGCCGATTATTGAATGTAAAGACTCAATTTTTCTATGCGACAATTTTCACCCACCATCATAAAAAAATGTGCGATAACAATATTGCGATGTGTGTAAAACTGATCAGAAATTGAGCTTAAACTCGGGTTAGTAGTAATTTAACGCTTTTAGGTTTTTTTTTCTTAAAATGAGTGGATGCGGTCAGCACAGTAATTCATTATCAAAATTTTTTGATGTTCCTACCCAGGGTTGGCTTATTTAGTACAAAATACGCACCAGTAGGTAAACTTTCAATAATCAAACTCTATACCTACCCACCATGTGGTTTATCAGTAGTAAAAAGGACATTAAAATATTTACAACAATATAACCGAAAGCATTGTGGAATATTGTCGGATGCAAGTCGCTTATCACGGCATTTGCAGACCATTAATTCCAAATCACGTTACAGAGATTCAAACATTATAAAATAAGCGCTTCATTTCACAGCCACCTATTGTTTAAGAGAGGGTTAAATAATTGAGTTAGCGCTTCGACGTAAGAATCGACGTGCGTTTAAGCTCATTAGCAAAGGGGGCTCCGAATAAAGATCGTAAAACATAAAACCTTAAAACACTCCGACGGCGTCATTAAGTATTTATTGCTTTATTTCCCTATTTTCCCGTCTTTTTACACTACATCAGTAAATATTGCACTAAACAATGCTTAAATTATAAACAATTTACACTATTTGACAAATATACATAAAGCATTAGGTTAACTATACATAAACATTTGAATAAATGTAAAATGAAACAACGGCAATAACAGTCAAGGCCTACGTGTTAAAATGATCACTTAGTAAAGTTCGCAAACTCTTTTTTCTTGCCAATTGGTTCCTCTTCGTCGTCCTCTTTATCTTGATGAGCCGTCATATGCCTGGTTAAATGGTGCCTTTCACGAAACGATTCCGCACATACGGGGCATTTAAGTTTGTCTTCCCGTCGTTTTTTGGTGACATCGACCGTGTCATTTTTGTGATGCGATCTCATGTGGTACACTAAGTCAGAGGTCATTCTGAAGCTGACGTTGCACTTGGCGCATATGTTCTGAGCGGGTAACGAGAGAGCGGCCAGCGAAGGGGGTAGTAAGGTGCTCAAGATTGCTGCGGCCGGATTACCGGACGAAAATTTTAAATCGGGTTGCGCGATCTTTAGCATTTCGGGTGGTTGAAATTGCGGATAGTTGTACGATAATTCGTGACGGTATTGGCCGAGCATTGGGCGCATCTTTGCGAAACTGGGCTGAAGTAGGTCCGTCGAAGGGTTTTTCGTTAGGAAAGGGTGGTCGAGCACGATCGGGTTTGGATTGGCAAAGTTTTCGGGAATGAAATTGTTTTGATATGCGGGCTTAAAGATTTGGTTAGGCGTGAGGATGTTTGGGTGAAGTTGGTAGTTTCTATTCATGATCGGGGGCGAAGGGCTTAAACTTTGATAGTTAATATCAGGGCTGGCCGATAGGCTAGGTGATGTTCGCGAGTCCTTAGCTAGATTTACCTTTGTGAATGCGCTTTTCTGTTCCGAGTGGTGTATGTGTGGAAGGAGCTTTAAAGTTGCGGCGGAATCGAACTCGAGCTTTGACTTCAAATTGGGATCACCGAAAACCTGCTGCTTGTGTATAGCGTTTTGTAAGTACCTAGCGTGAGTTTTCATCTTTTGCAGTTCGACAGCTTTCGATGAGTCGTCGCTGTCGGTGTCATTTTTCGCATTTTCCACGTTGTTATTCTCTTGATACGCGATTTCTGATGCCTTCAATTGCTTCTGCTTCAACTTGTCATCAGGTAGCATCAAGAAAGCGACGTCAAACGAACGCTTGATTGTCTTACTTGTTGCAATTTGCACATCGCTTGTAACCTGCACGTCAACTTTAGAATCAGGTCTTCTACTTGTAATGTCCATTGTCATTGTAAACTTTTACGCAAGCCGCGCACAAAAGAAACACGTACACAGACCAAAAAAACACACGTTGTTGTAACAGGATTTTGTAACAATGCGCTCACTCAACAGTCAAAATACGTATTGTGGAAAAACATACTACTAACGTCTAAATATTGTTAGATAATACAACCTTCCCCCTAAACTAAACGCTGTAGAAAATCACCTACCGCTCTGCAACGAGGGCGATGCCAGATAGAGTTTTTCGATGCTACAGAGCAGAGCAGGAGCGCTACTTTCATTCAGCCGAAGCCAGTTTATTTAGTTTAAACCACCCTATAGGGGTAAGCTAAGGTATAGGGGTAGCTTCAGACCAATAGAACTTTGGAGTTGGGAGGAGCGCTGAAATACGGTTATCCAATACGGTTTTCAATGTATAGGAGTCGAGACTGTGACGATTCCGATGTTCTCTACATTTTCACGATTCGGCTTCACTGAAAAGCATATTCTAATTCGAATATGCTTTATTGCTACGATTTGCCGCCGTTTTAGATTTCTATTTTCGAATTTTATTTTTTTCAAATATTTAAACACCCTAATCGGCTAGATTACACATTTTTCATTAGTATTTTAAGATGACTTACCTGGTACAACCGAAAAGTTTGGTATGCTAGCTTAAAATCTTCGCGCACAATCAATTTAAAATTCTCCAAGTACATTAAGCGTCAAACAAATGGCACAAATAACAACTTTCGAAAGACTTTTAAAAAGATATAACGCTTCATTAAAAATAAAATTCGCAATTAATCTTCTGTTCCAAGATGTAACGCAAATTGCGATTTCATTATAAAAATGATTAATGACTTCTTCGGTATGTTTGCAAACTCATACCATAAGTCAGAGGAGTGGGAAATCTGTTTCAAGGTCTCTTTTTAATATTTTTCTCATCTCAGCGCACAGAGCGGTAATATATTTCCCTCTAACCCTCGTCGAAATTAGGTTAGATACTCATAATTCATGACGCATCAAAGTAGTAACAAGTACCTTGACGAGGGGTTCACATTTCTGCAACATATGGACAAGTGGTATTATGTATAACCCTGGAGACCTGTCAAAACGTATTTATTCGCTATACAATACGAATTGAACTACCCTCACGGCGAGATCGCGTAAAAGGGACTTGTTGGCTAAGCGACAAAAACAAGCTCTAAATACGAAATACGGTCGTTTACTCGCTTACGTAATCATAATACGTAATTCTACTCAAAATCTTTAGAGTTGCATTTTGAAGACTAATTTAAGGGGTTTGATATAATGAAACACTCGACAATATGTACAAAATCAACCCACATTCGCAGTGGTGGGTCCACATTGAATTGCATCTGCCCATATGCTCATAAACCACATTGCAGGTGCCACGTTTTTATCTTGCTGGTACTTTAAATGGGGCACCTTTCAAACTGTAAGGGGAAAATTACTTAATCTCTCATACACGTATTTTTGAAGTTTAATTAATTGCTCATTATGAAGTAATAAAATTGGAATATTAGAATACATTAATTGCATATTTTTATTCACATAATGTTAAAAAAAGAAAGCATTTTGTTAACTTAGAATCAACGGATGACAATGACAGCCATATCCATAATTTCAACAGCTCCACGTGTAGCGTTTAAGAACCTAAGAAAGAATCACTAGGATTAACTCTGAGATCATATTGTACTTTTCTGAAGCTTTTATTAACTTTAATTTTAAAAAATAAAGAAAGAAAGAATTCGTAGATTTCTTGAATTGATGTTGATGCGCCCAGGGTTTATACGGGGTGAAATAGCAGAGATATGTAAACGGACGGATAAATGGGGAATTTTACTAGATGATGATTCGCTTTTGGGTTTTGGAAAAATGCACGGTTTACTAGATACCTCTTTAAGTTTTTTTTCCTCATTTCGTTTGGTTTTCCAATGGTTTTACAAAGGAAAAAATAATTAGTTTAGCCATTGAACTGAAAATCAAATATTGAAGCTACAATTTCTGAGTACAGACAAAAACATTGTTTTTCCTTATGGAAATAGTCGTTTTTTGGGTCATTGCTAAAAAACTATGTCATATAAGAAGTATGGGTCAAAACTATACTCTGCATTATTAAGTACGTATAATTGCCTATTTTTTCTTTCAACTCTTTTTTCTGTAGTAAATAATAGAGATATAAACACCGAACGAACTGCTAAAAATTGCCGAAATGCTCGGCCCTGTTCAGGGAAAATTTGTCGGTAATTGTATAATAAAATAGTACAATTGCTAGTTTTTTGGGGCTGAGCCCCACCTAGGACGTGGTCTTGCCCTCACTGGAAATTACGGTTGATGGTCCCTTTACAAAAAACTTCAGAAAAATATCGGCCACCCCTGCTACTTCATTCTGGCTACGGGACTGAGTCTTTTGATGTATGCCATACAGTTTGGGAGAATGAACCAAAAGACGATGGTTTCCATAAGATAATAGGTACAGTATTTTTGTTTTGACGCAAAATTGCGTCTTGCACAAATACGCCATTATCAACATCTTTTAATCCCATAATTATCTGCAACTTTTTCCTTGCCCTGTATATCATGTTTGCCGCTAACATTTTTAAAAAACCAAGACCTAAACAAACATCTTACTGTCCATTATTAAAAAATCTTTTAACTATTCGTTATTTGCAATAAAAGTTGGTGAATTGCTTAAAAAAAGTGGAGGTCAATTTTTTGGCTTAAATCTTGAATTTTAGTATACAGTGTGTTAAGAAAAAGTTTTATTTTGCTATCCACAGTTTTATTTTATTTTATTCATATGCGTAATTTTAATTAACAAATAAATTGCAATTTCCACGATATAAAGTAAATAACGACATACAAAGAATTATAATTTACAAGACCCGAAGTGGAAAAATAATCTTGAATGATAGTGTAAATGGTTTTCAGCATCAAAGCTATTGCTTCTTATTTCTAAGTGACGAAAAAGTAGTTTATTCTGCTTGATTCGGTGCTACACCCAATTTCTTTCTCTAAGTTTGAAAGATCACATGACAGGAATATGATTATTTTCATGTGCGTTCTGGCACAAATCGATTGGAATAGCGGCGATTTTCTCTCTAATACGAAAAAATCTCAGATGCTCAACGATGACCTCGCCGGCCACCCCCGGTCTCCCCTCAGTGAGACGATAAGCGCGCAGGGAACATCTGCCGCAGTTTTGCCATTAAAATCTGTGTGGGCCATAGCCCCGTCTTGTTGGAACCAAATATCTCCTAGATCTTGTTTTTTAGCTAACCGTTCCAATTCTGTCTCAAAACTATGTTCGAGCATCGAAACATAATGCTGATCGGTGACGGTTGTTGAACGCCCATTGAAAAAAATACGGCCCAATAACCCGAAGTTTAGAATCGTCACACTAGTATAGTCACTTTCGGGGAATGGAGAAGCCTCTGGTGAAGTTGGAAAAGTTTGTCAATTAAAGATATGCTTTAAAGGAAACTAGAAAATTCCGATTACTTCCGAAGATATGTCAGAAAAACCGAAACTTGCCAGTTTTTATTTTTTTCTGATGTTATTTGAACATATATAAAAAATCTGTAAAATTCTTGACATAACAGCTTCCTAGCTCAAACCAAAAATCGCGAACTTGGAAAAGTGTCTCCAAAAATTGTAAGTGTACTTTTCCCACGAAAGTTTATTATTTTCCGATATAGAATAAGAATACCCAATAATAAGAAAAAATTAGGTTGCCCTACACCCTTAAGCGAGCCCTTAAGCCTTCACCCTTAAGTGACAGTTATGTGAAAATGTGCATAGCATTATTAAATGGGTCCTCTCCATATACGTATTTTATATAAACTGTTTTTTGATATCTCCGCTTGTTTCTGCAATAATCGACTGTCTCAAGATAAATGGGACATCCTGTATATAAATTAAAGTGACATTCAAATATATGAGATTTCAGCTGCGGTAAATCTTGTGACTACCAGTTTCAAATAAAAGGTGAAGAAGGAAATTCCTCACTTTTTTTGTACCTCTAATATGTTGAACATTTTCCTCCAATTTTTGTGATTTTTTTCGAATGTTTCTCGCTATTTATTACATAGTTATAACAATGTTGTACATTCAAAGTGTACTTTACCGACAATCTTGAGGTACAGAATACCTGTTTGTTGTTCTGCTATCCCCGATAGACCTAATCCACAACTTTGTGAAATGACCCTTGAATTATCCGATTATATTATCAGTCTCTTCCTGGACGGCCCTGGTCGGTTTATGTTGACATATTGATTGTCATCATCATGAGTGCTTCTTCGTCATCTTCCTCCTCACTGTCGAGTCGCCGGTACGTTTTTGCATGGCTGACCACTGCAGCAGCCCCACACATCTGAACATTTCAACCCAGATTTCCCGCAACCAAATGTTCCGCCATATCCCTTTCGACAAGCACATGAAATGAATTTCAGTAGGTTTTCGGGTGCTAGTTGCTTTGTCATGACAGTGGAACAAACCCATTGCTGCCAAATTTGAAAACCTGTGTTCGTGGTTTTTTCCATACCATTTTTGGATTGAATTTACTTTTTATCGAAAATTGGCCGAAATGTTGGTAGTGGATTTTTGTCTTCTTTAACTTTCATTAGAACCATTTTTTCGTAACATCAACCGTTGCGGAATTACTTTGAAAAAACCGATTTTCCATACCCTTTTATCCAAGATGGCGGCGCATAGAGAAATTAAAGAGAGCTAGGAACTTTTACCTTTTATCATGGAAACATTTGGAACATGGGGTGCACGGCACGTGCCGAATTATTAATTAAGAACTGCCAAGTGCCAATGTAATTCACTTGTAGTTTGCTTTTATAAATCACTGTCTTTGTAATAAAAATGACTTCGCTTGAAAAATATAATACACCGTCTATTCAGTGCTTGTTGTGGAAGCATTCTTTGTGCATCATCACGTGGCAAAATTACAGAAATGATTTCTTTGTCCCTAGGCCAAAGATAAAATATATACTTGTTTAAAACAATGGAAGTATTTATAATTTTGAACCAAGTATAGAAGACGTTCCTTCCACGTAATTGTACCTTATCCTTAGGACAAATAACCCTGAACTTAATTTTAACAAATGAGGCATTGGTCCTTTTGATTT